AATTTTTATTTAAGCTATATTTTATTACGAAAAACTGTTGGTTAGAGCCTTTGTGAATTAAGATAACGATATGTAATATAGTAAAATATATAATATATCAATTTCATAATATAATATAATAACACTTACTGTTTTGAATAACTGGAAGCATTCGGTCCAGTTTTGGTTCTGCAAATGACCCAGACTTGCTGCCCTTGTTATGGCCTGCGCCACAGTATGCGAAAATAGTTTCGCTGCCGTCTTGACCTTTTGGCGGTGAGCTCCAGCCACGGTCAAGTTACTTGCAGAAATCTTGTGAGTTATTGTCAAGTCCGTGCTTGTAATTGACAATAACTCCAAAATTATTTCCTTTTTCACAGGTTTCCCATTAATTAGGAAACCTTGATCAAGGAAATGATTTCGCAAAAGTTTTAGCAAGTGTGGCACGTCAGCGAAAACGTAAATCCATTGGTCATTGAAAATAAACCTATGGAAATGAGAAGTATTATAAGAACTGAAATCATTAAGTTTAATTGTGATTATTTACCACGGCTGGTCTTCAGTTACGCCTAGATCATTAAATAGGGCCCTATTGGTACCTCCAAGATCGCATACGACAGCCACTGCGTTATAGCCGCAATCTTTTGACTTCTGCAACATGCTTCGAAGCAAAACGGAAGTCATTTTGCAGTCGAAGTCATAAAAGATTGGCTGTTTCCACTTTGCCATGAGACCTGAAATATAAAAGGCCTTAATAAAGGTTTGATATTCTATAAAATCTTGATTGTAATGTTTACCTCTTAACATCGCTACCTGCACGTAGTTGACGGGGGCTAATGTTGAGTCCGACGAAACATCGTAACAGTAAGATTGTCTTACTTTCATTTCGTCGAAACTCAACACGCATAGCTTCTGTGCCTCGTTCATGTGGGTAGCGGCGGCCAATAACCGGAAGACTGGGGTTATAAGTCCGCGCGAAATGTCCAGTTTTTGTGCCCAACTTTGAAGTGTGCGGACCGATGGGAGTGGAAGGCATTGCTTATATAGCAACCTGTATGCTTTAGGACTGGCAGCATACAACGATATTGACTTCGCAATATCCTCTTCCGCCCATTTTCGTCGCTTCGACCCAGACTTCAGCTTCGCTATCTGCCCTTTGGTGAAGATGGAAGCTAGTGCATCTTCCACATTTTTCATTTGGGCAGCCATTTCATCCAAACGTTTTTGCAGTGACTCCATTTTCCATGCGTGTCTCTTCAATTGCAGGTCGGACTCCCGCTTCAATGTAGCGAGCTCGGTGCACTGCTTTTCGGTTTCCTTTTTGAGGTGTGCATTTTCGCGCTTGAATGTCTCACTTCAAATAAGAGAAATATAAGATATTATTACATTTACACATAAAGATCTGTTACTTATTAACGTACACTTCCACTTTCAACACTTCCACTTCCTGTAGATCACTATCATAGTAAACACAGTTACGGATAGGTGACGTCGAAGCATCAAGAGTACCGTCCCTGGGCCGATATACTTTATCGCCTTCATTTAAACCAACTAATAAACCACTGACATTAATAATATAATATTTATAGTATAATATTTGCTACCTTCGCAATTTTGTAGCTCAATGATCTCCTCAACGCTGTCATTTTGTGACTCACACACCGGAGCAGGATCTATTTCCCACTCAAAAATGGTTGGCATGGCGTCGCGGCGAAGCGATGGTCGACTAGCAGTTCCTAAGTCTTTTATTAGATATCGACATATATAAGTAATGAAAATAAATGATAGTTACTCATGTAATCCTTATCCGTAAAGTGCTTCATGCATATTACGCTGGTGTCTAAATTGTATGGCTTCTCCTGCCGGCAGAACTCTACCCACTTTCTGGCCAAGGCGTCGTCGCGGGGAAACAAAAAAAAACTGCATTTAGGGCCTTTACCCCTACGGCTGCTGCAATTCAACACACGACACGACATTTTTATAAAGTTTTTATTACAAATAAAATGTTTTTTACTTCAGAACGCACGAATTACTTCGATTTTTCACTAGAAAATACACAATACGTTTGCAATACGTTTGCACTTGTTTATAAACAAAAAGTTTGTTTACGTATTGCCATAAACGTCAAAGTCGGCAAAACCAAAGTAGCGGTTTCGGGAATGCGCCACCTTCAGTTCATTACACCATGTATTCTATCATTCTTGTTGCTGGAGTACCAAAAGCTGTGATGACAGTATTTTAATTGATCCACGACAATCGGTGGCATATGGAATGCGTGATGGAAATTGTCTGGTGCTTGATAGCCAATATACTGCAAGAGTGAAACGATACAAGTGAAACGCTGTGATAGTAATTCTTCTTAAATTTCCATCTTTTATTTGCAGTTACATTAAGAAGCTCATAGAGGACAGAGCTGTTGGTGAGGAAGGTGACGAGTTACTGCAGTACTGCAACTGGGAAAATCCGCATTTCGCACGTGCCCCACTCGTATGGAATAATAGCTTATGTCAAAAGGCTGGTTTTAGTATAATGCGGCATTCGCAGCATACCCTCACTGGCGCCGAGCCGTTGAAGAAATTTTGGCAAATAAACGTGCAAGAAATAGTTCCGATACTAGCACGTCCATATTCTTGTTAAGGGTCATCAAAAAATTCCTTGTGTTGTAAATGATAAAGGGAATGCCGGAATATACTAAAGCCAGCTTCCCGACATAAACTACTACTCCATACGAACACAGAAATATAACTGTATCTAAAACTGAATAACTCAAATCAAATTGGATTGCATTTGCATAATATACCTAATATTGGAATCTGTTTTGATCGTAAAAAATACAACTTGCAATCATTTAGATTATAGTTTTGAAAGAAATTGATTGCAATCGTAAATTATGTAAAAATTGTCAATAACAATCTGCCTAAAATTTATTTTCCCCATGTAACGGTTATAAAATACGTTAAATTCGCACTATCTGCATCAACAAAAAATATACATTGGAATATTTAAATTAAAACGATTCATATTTATTTTCTAATAAGAATTGTTTCTTAATTGAAAGTATTTAATACTAATATAATGTAGTGGTTAATGTTTAAAAATGAATTCGCAATATGTCCGCAGCTCAGGTTGATTTGAAGAAATCCGTTTAAATTTTTCGAATTACATCTACTTGAATATAGGATAGGCAGGGTTGCATACAAATGGTAGTTCCGTAAATATTTAAAATATGTTAGTTCATTCAATATTTACATCTGGGCCAATAAATAATAACAAATATAGCCGAAAAAACAAAGTTTCAATTAAAACGAGTTTTTATAACCCCCCATAAAATTCCGATTAATTTTAAATACGAAAATAACGATATTTTTTCATGGAGATTTATTTTTTTAATATACCTTGTTTATACCTACACAAAAACCGGATTAGCAAAAAACCGATTGGACTCAACATATATTTCTTTACAGCATTTATACCCCTGTCTTTATAGCGCACTCGATAGTCTTATTCAAAAGTAAACAAAATCTGCTATTTTCAAACGACATTTTTTTTTTAATAAATAATTTGCACGGTTGACCGAAATGGAAACAAACAATAACTGTAATTTATTATAACAATAATTCGAATTTAAACGGGCTGTATAAAGAAAACCAGCCTATTGTTACTTCACTTTCCAATGGTGCTGATTGCTGCAGGAATTATTTAGCGATTTAGAGCATAACCAACACAATATATGCACATAAATATGTATTATTTCACAGATCTCAGGGTCAGCTTAGAAATACGTTACCAAAATTATATAAAATTTAAGTAGGAATTATTTTTATTTATAACGTAAAAGCGCTATCTGACCCAATCTGATAAGTATATTTCCCCTAAAGTTAACCCATTTTATTTAATTTGTCTCTNCTGACCCAATCTGATAAGTATATTTCCCGTAAAGTTAACCCATTTTATTTAATTTGTCTCGTGAAAATATATATTTTATTTAAAATTTTCAGATATGTACATATATTTTAAATTTTTGCTTTAATTTTTGTCTCCTTTTAATATTTAATTAGATACCTTAAGATTAAAATAAACTTAAAACGAAACAGCACAGCAACCCTTTTCTGTTCATCTTGAGAACACAAAACCCTCTTTTGTTAAAATTCGGCGCTGCACAAAATCCTGGCTTTTATATTTCCCAACAAAATACCACTTCGCAACCCTCGATTTTCACGAAGCGTTTCATTCGGGTCGTAGTTTTGCAACTTCGGGCCATTCGGTGTTGTATGCCATATTGGCTGCCATATTGTTCACACTGTCTCCGCCATATTGAACACCCTGTCAACTATCTGTCAACCCTAAGATATCCCACTTGTATTCTTCCACAATGGTGCCGACCATTGGTGTTGCCAGGTTGACGTTTTTAACGTCATTTGGACGTTTTTTGTATCCTNTCCGCCATATTGAACACCCTGTCAACTATCTGTCAACCCTAAGATATCCCACTTGTATTCTTCCACAATGGTCCTGACCATTGGTGTTGCCAGGTTGACGTTTTTAACGTCATTTGGACGTTTTTTGTATCCTGTTGACGTGTGGA